GCCTCTAGGGTTTCTAGGTATAGGCAGCTGGCACAGAATGATGGGAGACAAGAGGTTGACTGGATCTTCTGTGAGGTTTGCTGGAGTGTAAAGGGACTGGAGGCAGGGTGGGACGGCAGGTCCCTACAAGCAGCCTGCTGCGGGGCTGAGGATATGAGTGGAGAAATTGTAATGGCAGACAAGAGGCAGAGTGAAAATTGAGTGTTTCTAGGTGTAAGTGGCTGACACAAAGAGATGGTGTGAGGGAGAAGAGATGTAAGATCTAGGGGAGTCTCCAGGAAATGGGAGTAGAGTACTCCTGGCTATTTTACATAGGTTCTGGGGATCTATCTAACTTGGGTCCTCATGTTTGTGCAATGAACACTTTTCTTTTTAGGTTTAGGAGGCATATTTTGTGTGTTGGGGTGGTGGTTTTAGGGGTATGTGTGTTTTCTCAGATCAAACAGGAACACACACCAACAAAGGACAGTGATAACATATATCCTCTTGCTCTAGTCAGTGAGTAACACACACACACACACACACACACACACACACACATCTGCCTATCGCTTGAGTCTTCAAATGCGTCCCTATTCTGAATACCACCAGGCTTGCAGTCTGAACTACAACAACTAGGACACACGCTCACACCCTACACTACTATGGTAGCCAGCCAGATAGTTCAGCAGGTCCTGCCACCAAGCCTCATATTCTGAGTTCTGAGTTTGATCTCCTGAGCACACATAGTGGAAGCAGAAAACTGTCACCCACAAGTTGTCCTAACCTTCCCTCATGCACCAAGACAGGAGCACACACTTTAAACAAAAATGTAATATAAAAATGTATGTTTTTCATTTTTATTTTTTATTATATATACATTGAGAGCATTCACGTGTCTAAAGTGCTATATTGTTTCAAAATGTAGCAACGAAGTTTCCTCCCCATTCCTCTTCCCCTCTGAATCTTTTCTCTCACTACAATGGGCATAGGCAGGAGAGGCTTAAGAGGGTTGTATGCATTCATTACCTACCCGTTACTATGGTTACTACAATGAAATGACTGAAGAGAGCAGCTTTATAGGAAAAGGTTTACTTAACTCACAGTTTAGGAGACTCAAAGTTCACAACTGGGCAGGTGGAACCATGGGGCCATTCTTTGGAGAGGGTGTGGTGACAGGCAGCATAGTAGTGGGAACTCTTCCAAAGTGAGTAACAGGAAGCCAAAGAGCACAGCAGAGGCTGGCTTGCTCTTACTGTAGCGCCCTCTGGTAAGAACCAACCAGTAGTCCCCTGTGAACTACAGAAACCACTTCTGAGGAAAGTGTCCCAATGACCTATGAGGGTCCCTGCAAGCTCTATGGCCAACAGAGAAAAGAACAGAGAGATGCAAGAAGGAAACTCTGATCGGCACAACTTAGTTAGCCAGACTGATTCAAACTTCTGAATTCTGACCCCAAGTGGCTTATTGTTTTACATATCTAAACACAGTAAAACTTTGGGGAAAAGTTTCCTCGTGACAATTTTCACAACAAAGCTTAAGTCATGGCTACATCAAAACTCCCTTGCAATGTACATGCCTTTTGCAAAGCACCTGTGACCTCTTCCACAAAAATGGGTTCTATCAACTTAGAAAGGATGCTCGGGATAGGCATCTAGGGAGGAAGGATTTGTAATTAGCATAATAGTATAGCTCTTTTGCAAAGTACGTGAGACCTCTTTCAGAAGAGTGGCTTCTATTGACTGAGAAACAATGCTCAGGATAAAGAGGGTTCTGGTGAGGTCTGGCATTACAGAATAGCAAAAGATCACCAGGTTACTAAATAACATCCACTCTAGTCTTCTATGTGACTAGGTGTCAATTTCTTTCATCAATGAAAAAAACCCTGTGTGTTTTAACAGTTCTGGTGTCCCTAGTGTTTATCTGTGAGCATAAGGCCCTTGTGTCCTTCTACAGTAACCCAAGAACCTCTCACATCAGTCACTGAGGCAAGCCTGAAACACATGAACACCTAGGGGACAGACCCTTGTAGACAGAAGTTTCTGCCACCCCAGTCCCACAGTTGTTTAGTCCCAAATAAACACACAGAGGTTTATATTAATAATAAACTGTTTGGCCAACGACTCAGGCTTCTTATTAGCTATCTCTCTCTCAATTATTAACCCAATCCTATTAATCTATGTATCTCCGCGCCATCTTGGCTTACCAGTCTTTATCAACATGACGTGAGTCTCTCTGGTGATTGACTCACTCTGTTGCCCTGCTCAGACTCCTCCTAGTCTGGTAGTCTTGCCTATACTTTCTGCCTGGCTACATCCTACCTGTCAGCAATGTAAAAAAAAAGCATATATTCACAGCATCCCTCATCCGAGCCTACCCAAACCACCGCAAAGCTAACACTAGGCAAAGGGTGACACTGGCTATTCCTCAGAGAGTGACAATGAGCTATGTGGTGTACTCATGAGCAACAATTTTTGGGAGCCTAAATATCACCATCCCCCTAAAAAACTGGTGTCCCTGGGCCCAGGACACATACTAGGGGGAAATGCTACAACCTAGACATGTAAGAAGGTTCTGTGTATATGTGATAACAAAAAACCTACAATAGTTGTATTTGGGTGAACCATCATGCAGCTGTTAAAACACACTTGTGAGCTGGGTGTGGTGACATACACCTTTAGTCCAAGCACTGAGGAATCAAACACAGGTGAATCTCTGAATTTGAAGCTAGCCTGGTTTACAGAGCAAGTTCCAGGACAGCCAGGACTGTTGCCCAGGAAAACCCTGTCTCAAACATTTGAAGAGCTGGAGAGGTGACTCAGCCATCAGGAGTGCTTCCTGCTCTTCCAAAGAACCTGAGTTCAGGTTCCAGCACCCAAGTCTGATTCACAAGCACCTGTAACTCCAGCTCCAGGGGATCTGTAGCCTCCAAAGGTGCCTGCACACATGGTATATACAGATACACACTCACACATCTCAACACATTTGAGGATTATGTGTGTGTGTGTATACATGCATATGGGTGCATGTTCATGTGTGCACTGTGCACTTGTTGGAGTGTGCATGACCATATATGTACACACTCTTGAGGTACCTTCCATTTTTTGATTGTTTTTTTTTTTAATTTGAGGCTCTCACTAGTCTGGAATTCCCCAGCAGGCTAGACTGGCTAGCCAAGGAATCCCAAGGACACCCCTGTCTCTGCCTCCCCAGCACTGGGATCACAAGCACATGGGCTCTGGGGATTGAACTCAGGCAATCCCCAGTTAAGCCATCTCCCCAGCCTGAGGATTATTTTATGACATGAAGAAAAGTATATTGCAAAATTGCCCTGCAGTGTGCTCATAATCTTGTTGTTGCAACAACAACAAAGTTAACTCTTGGCTGATAAAGATGTTTGCTGCCAAGCCTGATCACGTGAGCTTGATCCTTAGTAACACATAGGAGAGAACAGACTCCCTCAGGAGGTGTCCTCTGACCTCCATATACACCATGGCACATGTGTATGTACATGTGTGCACACACAAAATTTTTAAATGGTTGCTTCCTCACTAGCTGAGAATGAAGAGGAAAACTAACCTCATCCATGGAAGAAGCAGCTGTGACCAGTGCTCTGGGACACCGACATGGTAGCAGTGGGGTCAGAAGGCCCTCCTGGGAACCAAATCTTATAGCTGAGCCCTCTGTCAGAAAGAGACAGATTCTAATTTATCTAGAGCTCTGCCTGAGAAGACAGTCCAGTCCTCCCTCCCCTCACCCCAACATACCTCTTCCTATATCTTCCATTTTCTTTGTGTTTTCCTAACACTTGCTTACAGGTGAGGGATCTGGGTTCAAATCCTAGCTCTAGATAAGTGAATGGCCAACTGAGTCTTGATCCCTTCTGTGACCTGCAGAGTGAGCTAATGTGAGAAGCTTCCATCTAAGGACATTTGCCATTCTTCACCCCGTTTTCTGAGATGCTGGTCATGCGGCTCTGCCCTCCTGGCCATTGGGTCACAACTCAAAAGGGTACCTCCTCACTTTAGTTCCTCCCTCCCCGCAGACCCTCTCCACGACATTCCCCTACCTCATGTCCGCAAAGCACTGGCCCCTCACTGAAGCAATGCCGTGCCTGCCTGATGATTGCAACCTAGAAACTAGTGTACCACTGCCCATTGCTAATTAAATGAGTCAGGCAGGCACGCACTGGCACATTTCACTGTGTTGTCTGCCCAAAGAAGTCTGTGTAGTTTGCATAGGAGGCAAAGGTTGATATTAAATGAATAGGGGGAGTCAGGCTGAAAACTAATTCCAAACCACTTTCCCCTCAGATCCCCTTACTCCTGGCATAGAGGGCAAGAGCATGCTTTAGAGGAAGGCAGCCATTAGGGACTAGCCTGTAGGCCAGAAGGTTCAGAAGATTAAAAGGCAAAATTAAATATGGAAAGGAAAGGGGGTGGGTGGGGGAGCAGAGGAGTGTCTGTAATTCTGAATCTTGAGGCCATTTAATTTTAAATTTTAAAATTATTGGGCGTGGGCAGTGTGCATGCCATAGATGGCACGTGTGGAAGTCAGAGGACAAGCGGAACAAATCTATTCTCTCCTCCTACCATGTGGGTTCCGGACATCCAACTCGGGATGTGAGACTTAGCAAGGGACCCGCTGAGTCATATCGCTGGCCCTTGAGGCCATTTTCTAAGCAACACACTGTATTTTTTATTCGTTCCACAAATAGAAGTTAAACACCTCCTGTGGGGTTTAGGTGATTCAGAACAAGTCTGGCTTGGGCAGTCCTGTCTGTGGTTGACGCCTAGTGTGTGTTCTAGGTGGGTTAGGACTCATCCGGGCTGGCCGAGTCTCTGGCGTCCTTGTCCTCTCCGTGTCTGTGTAGCAGGGGTTACCTGCTCAGAACAGAGACAGATGGGAAATTTCTGTCATCATTAAGGTTTATTGACCAGCGCGGCTGGAATTTCCCAGAGAGAGGAATTAATCTCGCTGCCGACTGAGAGCAGGCATCCTGCTGGGAGTAGTTACATAAATTCTGTTGCTCAAATTAATTAGGATTGTGATTCATTTGTTTAATGAAGAATCTGATGGCGAGAGGCAAACCAGCCTAGCCTTGCAGAGCTCAGCCAATCCCGGGTGACAGTGCGGCAGATGGGGTGGGACCAGGCCTGGAGCTGGTCGCTGATGAGCAGAAGCAGCCAATGAATACGGAGATGGAGGAGAAGCCGGCGGGAGCCACTGCTGTTCCCCAAAGCTGGTGACTAGGACGACTCTCAGACCCCGAGCTTGGAAAGCTTTCCATGCTTTGCCTAGAGGTTTTCGACCTCCTGCTTCCTCTGTGCGGAACAACTGCGAACAGCTGAACGCGCCTCATTAGCACTCCCGACCGATCCACCCATTTCCTCCTGCCACCCACAAACGCCAGACTCTTAAACTTCTTGCAACACAAAGTAGGAACAGATAGCTTGCACCGGCTTACTCCCACCTCTTTACCCAGAATTCCCTGCCTGCCTGTGGAAGGGCCGCCCACCCCACAGTAGCCTCTGTGAACCTGGCTCTCAGCTGTAGTTACTGAGGTAAGAGACAGGGAGGTGGCCGGTGGAAGGTAGTCCTGGTGAGGAAGGGGAAAGTGCCCCACTCCAGGGGACAGTGACTGATAGTCTGTGTGAGTAACACTCTGGGCTAAGATAGAAAAGGCGACCTGGTGTCCCTAGAGGCTCGGGTCAGAACGAGTTTGAAGGATTTGTTGATGGGGCAGATGCAGGGGAAGAAGAGGCTAGGGGATCAGGTTAGCTTTGGGACTCTATCCACTTGTGCCTCACCGCAGGAGTCCTCCCGGGGAGCCATGTTTTCTTTCTAGATGTCCCCACTTCCTGGGACTGACCAGTAAAGTCACGAGTTAGACCCAACAGGACTTTTCATGTATCAGAAATATTACAAGGAAATGTGTCCTGCTGTCTTAGCACACACTTCCTGGAAACCTCTCCTGGAACTCAGTTATACCTCACTTAAAAGGAAGCACTACCTGGGGACCGGAATCCAAAATGGAGTGAGCGATGATACAAATGCTCAGCCCCCTGGGCCTCAGATCACCTGGCTTCCAAAGGTGCCTCCTGTCATCTTACTTCTCTCAGTGACTGGGGGAATCTAAGCCTGAATGTTTGTCACTCATTGTGCCTTGTCGTTCTGAAGGACTTGTCAACACACATCCAGCCCAAGGTAGGGTGATCTGACATGCCCCCTCTAGTTACATGTCACCCCCTTGCTGGTTGCCCTCTGTCTGCCCTGTCTTCCTTTCCTCCATAAAGTGCCCTAACCGATTGTAAAGCCCTGGCCAATGGCTGCTTTCCTCCCTGTGCTGTGGTTGGATATGAATGCCTTACAGAAGTCTGCCTGTTGGAGACAATGTTGAACTGCTGGGACTTCTAAGAAGCGAGACTTACTGAAAGGCCTGTAGATCATCCGGTTGCCAAGGGATAAGGTAGTTCTCACAACAGGATCGCTAGAGAAGAGCCTGGCTGCTGTGTCACTCTGCCTCATCCTGTGGTCCCCTCACACACCTTCTTACCATGAGATGCCATGTACTATGAAGTCTTCACCAGAGCCAGCCTGATGCTGGTGCCATGGCCTTGAACCTTCAGAAGTGTGAGCTGCACAAAACCCTTTATAAAGTTACCGAGTGCCAGTATTTTGTTACAGTGCTGTAAAGTGAACCAGTGCCACATACAACATTACTGGCTAGGGGTACAGGATGGCAGGTGGACTCCAACATCAAGGCTGGCTGGAAAGCAAGGCTTTTGAGCAGGAGTGATGGGATCAGATCTGAGATGATGATTTGCATGGAGAATGGAGGATAGAGTCAGTTAGAAAGCTGTCAGAATAGTCCTCCAGTAAATGGTATTTTAGTTGTAGCAAAATACCTCAGAATGACTCTGTTTCCCACCTGTCACCACGTGTCCTTCAGAGAGGACAAACATTATCCTCACATGACGAAACACCTCTCTGAAGTATGTGTGTGCCTTGTCACAGAATTAGTGTAGTAGTTATTGTCCTGACATGTACAGTCAGCTGGAAACAGGCCTCTGGGCATGCCTTGGGTGGATTATCTTAACTGAGCTAATTGAAATGAGAAGATCTGCCCATTGTGGGTGGCAGCATCCCCTGGGAGGGCGTCTCTAGACCCAGACAATATAAAAAGATGTGAGCTGAGTAAAATCATTCATCATTCTGTTCCTTGACTGTGCTTGGAGTGTGACCCACTGCCTCAGGCCTCTGTGACTTCTCCACCATGATAGATTCTGTGAGCCAAAATGAATTTTTAAGATGCCTTTTTCAGGGAACCTTAGCAACAAAAAAAAAGTCATTAAGACAACTAGGGATCTTAATTAAAGGCACAAAACTTGAGAGGTGGGGGAAACTGCCAAGGAGCTGGGATCCCTGCACCGAGGCCATCCATCACCCGATAGCCAGTCCTTGGGTCCTGAGAAGTGGTCAGTTCCTTGCACATGCCCGGCCAGAATGAAAAGTTTCAGCATTGGAAGGTACTTTCAGTCGTCCATTCACTAATGTCTCAGCAGGAAACAGAACTCTGTTCTAATAGGTCAACTAGAGACTGACGACCTATTTACAGAGAGCTGCACGGGATTAAAGATGCCGAGGAGAACACTGGGAAAGCTGGAGACTGCAGACCACCAAGGCCTAGAGGAGTGGCTGGACCTGAAGAAGGTTGGGCATGGGCGAAAGAGCTGTGTGCAGGAGCTTAAGCCAAACGGAAGAGCAAAAAGTATCCCGATCTCTCCTTCCAGTCTCCTGCCAGTGCCTCCCGTTGGCCAAACCACAGTGGAGTCAACCAGCAGGGAGTCTGGCTGCAGGGAGCAAGGTCAGCTTTCTGAGGCACAGGACAGGGGAAAGGAGGGGAGATCTCAGCCTACAAAAGACAGAAAGCAATAGGCTGCAGGATCTGTGTCCAACCTGCTGTTTATTTCTAAAGGGATCTCAGAGTGGAGGCAACTTGCCTCTTGTGGGGCAAATCAGGAAAAGGCCCTCAGTCCCTCTTCCTCGGGGTCAAGTGTCGCAGACACTTGGGGTGTGGCCTGGAATCACCACTGCAGAACCGACATAGGCAGAGGAAGGTGGCAAAGCAGAGACAGTGGAGAGCAGCACCGCAGAGGATGGCATCCGAAGAGTCAGCAGGGAGGTGATGGCTGCTTCTTCCCTGTCTCTTCCCTGCTTGATGTCTGCTTCTGCCCTATTTCCCCAGGCATGGAAGCAACAACACAGTCCTGAGGCTGGCAGGGACAGGAGGAGAAGGCTCTGCCTGACTGGTGGCCAGCCCCCCCCCCACCAGTCCCTGGGGCTGCTTACTGATCCAGCACAAGATGGTTGAACTGAAGTCTTTACAATAAATGGTGCAGAAAAGCAACACCCTTAGTCTGCGGTGATCCTCACAGAAACAGAGAGAGCTGGGAAACGCTGTGAGAGCAAGCAAGTGCAGTCAGATGACGACTGTTGGAAAGGGCCTAAGACCAAGAAGTCATAGAGCCCTAGACTCAGTCAAGTGTCTGCCCTTCTGAGCTGTTCTGTCCTGGTCAAGGCTTGGGAAGAGCCTAGACCACATCTCCTGCCCTACTCCATTCCCATTGCAGCCTCCCAGGCAGTTACTCTTCCAGGCCTCGTAGTATCTCACACTTCATTCACGCTGCTCTCTCCTGCTGCGATGCCCTCCATTCCTCTGCAACGCCCACCTTCATTGTTCCTAACCCCCTTGGACCTGCCTCCTTCCGGAAGACTCCACTATCTTGCGTAAATGGCCCTGTCATGATGGCCACCTGTCCCCTTCTCTCACTAGAGCAGTCTCCCTCTCTCCCTGGCTTAGCTTCTCTTGTAGATACAAGGCAAGAAGTGCATTTTCTCCTTCTCACCTTCACTTGCCTAACAGGCCTCATTGGGATCAGGTTCTGAGAGGAAGCAGCAGGTGGAGAGAGGGGAAACTCGGGTCCAGAGGCGGACACAGCCAAGCACAGCCGGCACTGAAGATACCAGCTCCTGTGCTGCCCTGAGCAGCCTCCCAGCTCATTAGGATGGAGCGTTCATCATACACTTGTATCTTTAGCATGGGACATAGCCTCCCCTGGGCCTGGGCCCAGCTGGTTCTCTGCTCAGATTCATAAACTCATAACCGACTCAGGACATAGGAACTGTGCTGTGAAATCATAAAGTGAGTGTCTGAAAGAATCTTATTCAGAGAGAGTGAGGTCTCCATGCTCCCAGTCCAAGACGTAGGACTCTGCAGCTTCCTCCTGGATATCTTAGCTGTTCATCTCAGAACCCAAGTGTCACATGATAAGAAACCCAGGCTATGGGAGAAACTATAGGTACTCAGGGTGACAACACCAGCTGCCAACCATCTCATGCCAAGAGAAAGCCATCTTGGATATCCAGCCAGTGAAGCCCTCAGATGACCCCAGACCCAGCTACTGCCTGGTACAACCATACAACAGACAAAGAACCTTCCAGCTAAATTCAGCCAACCCATGGAACTGTACAGGATATTTTACAGTGTTAGAAACTTCTTGCATATAGGTGCAACTTTACAAGTGAGTAACTATGACCAGAACTGTCATGTGACTTACTGCCTTGAGGCAGAGTCCGGTGCCTGTCACCTTAATCCCACCACAAGAAAAGGTAGAGAGAGGTGAGCTCTCCAGAGCAGAAGAGGAGGAGAGGGAAAGATGAATCTTGTAGAAAACATCCCAAATTTATCCCATTTATGAAGGAAATTGCTCGCTGTGTGATTTTTGTTTTCAGTCTTCCAAAAAGTGTCTTGGAGTTTATAGAGTTAATTGTTCTTATTTCTGCCTTGGGTTGGTTATATCACACACACACACACACACACACACACACACACACACACACACACACGGTGCACACGCCTTGAGATAATTAGCAACAAGCTTATTGGACCACATTTTTCAGGGAGACTATGGCCTCAATAGAAGAGAAAGGAGTTCCCTATGGAAGCCCCAAAGAAGGCCAAGTAACAAACTAAGTGAAGTGTCCAGAGAAATATCTGTATTTTCTGAATGATCCATCAAAATAGCATGCACCCATAAGGTTAGGGCAAGCTAAAGGGGCCCAGAGCCATCCACCACATCCAACAGTGCTGGGAAAACGTTGCTCAGAAGTGAACCTAGACCCTTCTCCAATTCAATGCTGGGGAATGCAGCTGAACCACACACTCAAAGGGAAAGTCCTAGATTTGCCTGGTTTTCCCAGGCCCTTAAATGGAAGCACCATGAATTTTTTAAGGCCTGACCTGCTCAGTAGGCAGCAATGGGGAATTCAGGAAAACGGCATGTTACTGCATAATGAGCTGGAGGTCAAGCTGGCCTTGGATGTAAAGACATCAACTAAGATATGGATAGCCCTTGGTTTTTTTTAACTGGGCTCCAGGTCCCCTCTGTGTCATAGAACATTGAAGAAGCTGCCATCTTCTCAACATGTCCCAGGAGCTCTACTTGATTTTGGTCGGTCCTCCAGTGACCCTCAGAGGGAATTATTAGCTCATTGCAAGATGAAATTTGGAGTCCTGGTTCCCTGGACACACCCATGGCCTATAAATTTGGAGTGGTCAGTGGTGTGGTTCTACTGATCACAGCTGGGCTCACTGGCCATCTACTGGTCCAGGCTGGCCTCAGCTGCCCCACGTGACTGTCATCCTCCATCAGGCCAGCCCAAGTGTGTTCTCATGACAATAGCTAGGGTGCACAAAAGAAAGCAAGCACATCAATTTCCCAAGGGTTTTGTTGTTGCTGTTCAAGCTCTTGCTTGCATGTCCTTGTCACCCTTCCTTTGACCCTGACCAGAGAAAGCTGTATTGCCAAGGCCAAAGTCAAAACCAGAGCATGCTGAAAGCCAATGGTGACAAGGTTTGATGGGTCCAGGTTAGGGTTCAGATCACCTGCTTTGCATGTGAAAGGCCCTGGCTTCAATCCCCAGCACTGACATGTATATATTAGAGGTCATTTTTGCCATCTACTTCTTGACCTAGGCAATTCCAGTCTCAGAACCACTGTTCCCATGTTATTTTGTACATGGCTATATCTACTTTGTAAGGTGGCTGAGGCCATTGCTAAGTGTTCTTTCTGCAAGTGTATTTCACAAGCCCAGGGGTGTCTGCACACACTAGCTGAAGAAACACACAATGAACTCGCATCCTATTTCCAGAGTCCTGAAATTTCACATAAGCCCTCAGAGGTGAGCCAGCCTAGTCGCTGACATGATGAACAAGACTTGAAGGGAGAGAATAAATCAAGGCAGAAAACAATGAGTCCATGATGTAATTAAAGTTACTGTGAAAGAGCCTCTAAAGGAGAGAATGAGTCAGCCTCAAATGCAAGCAATGAATCAGGGAGTGTCGCGTTGTAGAATTCTTGGCTATTTCCAGAAAGCCTGCTGTCCCAGTTAAAAGAGCACCTTGAGCTTGATGCTCAACATCTGGAAGGAAACACTTCTGTCACTCTAATGCCTTTTGCATTGCCGCCACAGGCAGTGGGAGCAGCCCTGGGAACAGGCAGAAGATTGCCAACCCTGAAATCCTCAAGGGAGAAATGGATAGGCAAAGTATTGCTCAAAAGTGCTCAAGGGGATTTTAGCTTCACCGAGTGGATTTGAGCTATCATTTCTAAGATACAAGGTAACTGAAAATATAACTGCCATGAACATATATAGACTCAAACCACATGTTCTGTGTAAATTCAAGTAAGGTGTGTGTATGTGTGTATACATGCTTGTGAAAGAGCAACCTTAGGTGTCATTGCTCAGGTACCATCCACTTTTTTGTTAAGATTTATTTTTAAGTGTACTTGTAAATGCCTGAGTGTATGTGTGTGCATTACACATGTCTGCAGCCCGTGAAAGCCAGGAGAGGATATCACATACCCTGGAACTGGGATTACAGTTGTGGGCTGCCATGTGGGTACTGGGAACCCTTGCAAAGGACCCTCTGTAACCCCATCTACTTTTAATTTAAAAAAACTGAATCCCCACTGGCCTGGAGCTCACCAAATAGGATACCCTGGCTGGACACAGAACCCCCAAAATACTTATCTCATAACCTGGCACTGGGATCACAAGTATATGCCATTACACTTGGCTTTTTAAAGATTCTATTAATTGAACTCAAGTCATCATGCTGGCAATGTGAGGGAGAGTCCACCCCTTGGAGTCAGTACAAGACACACCCAGACACCAATTCTCAGCAAAAAAGAGATTTATTACACTGGGTCGGGGCTGCCTCTGGATCAGGCAGAGGCAGACAACAAACAGTGGTGGGGGAGCAGCAGGTGTTTTTTGCACGAGTGGTTTTTAAGGAGAAAAGGGGGAGTCTATGATAGGGTGAGTTGGTAAGTCCTGATTGGACATGTTCACCAAATAATGGATTCTGGTTGTTGGACTTGGTGTTTTGTCCCAAGAATGAGTTAGTGCAAATGAGGGAATGAACCTCAGGGGCTAGCTTTAGGAATGTAACCTAATGGTTTTTAGCAAGGGAGAGAGAAGGATAAAGGGCAAAGTCTGTTGGTACCATGTTTGCCACGCTCGGACCTGTTAGAGAGCTCTTCAGATGGGACAAGCACTTTACTGACTGAGAATTCGGGTAAGTTTATGAACTAAAAGCAGAAATGCCTTAAAATGTAAAGCAGCACATTAGAACAAAGAAGACTGCAAGTAAGAGTCACAAGCCTAAAAGATGATCGTCTAGAAGGTTCAGAGCTTATCTTGCTCCCCTCAGAACTGGAGTTTGGTTTCGGCACCCATGTCAAGCAGCTCCTGGGGATCATGTGCCCTTTTCTGGATACCAACTGCACCCACACATGCACGAAAACACAAGTATACACATAATTTAAAAATGATCTTTTTGGAGGGAGGGAGAGAAGAAAAATTGTAAGCATGGCAGTGCATTTAATCCTCACACAAGCTGAGATGATCAGCTCCTATCATTTTACAGGTGGGGAGAAATACCATGGCTCCCAGGGCTCTAAACACTTGCATACCTGCTGAGAATCATATGATCTGTACATGGTGAGTCAGGATTCACACTCAGAACCACATCCTGTGCCAAATGCCACTCAGTATTGGGGCTGACTTGCCCCACATGACCCCAATCTGCTATGTTCACAGCTCACACTCTGACAGTGTTCCATACATACTCCCCTTTGCTGCCCTGCCACCCCTAACTGACACATGCAAGGCTGAGGGGTGTTTGTTGGTTCAGGGAAGCTGAGCTATGACCCTGGGATGCTGACAGAATGTCTGATATTTATAGCAACTCACAGTCAAATATCAGGGAAAGTGTGTTTTAGGCCGTTTCCAGTGTCCTCAGGGGAAAGAAAAACATCTTGGTGAAGAATTGTGTGGGATGCTGAATTGATGGTGTATCAGACAGGAATGGACAACTCAATGGGTTTGCATTCCAGATTTAAAAAAATAATGGAAGAGTAACCAGTCAGCCTCTATAGACAGCACTCTTCAAATACTTTGGATATAGCCATATGAAAGGCCCCACCACTAGATGAATTTATAAATGGCCACCTTACACTCAAACTTTATTTATGCATTTATATATTGATTTAGGTCTGCCTTACTTCACCAAGGGCTTGAAAGCGATCCTTTAATTGTGAAGATGTTGACAGATTGATTACATTAGTGGCCACGTTTTATATCCCTCCCCATGCCCTTGGGTAGTGTCCTCCAACACCAGCTCTGGTGACTTCCTTTGGTTAATAGGACAGCAATCAACTTGAGGCAAACACAGCTTGAAAAATCACACAGTGGAGAGGCGCATTGTCCTAGTCAAGGCTAACCCAGATCATCCAGACTCTGGCCACCCTGCAGGGGACAAGACCCCATTGAAGCAATAGGATCTGGTCCAGATCAGCAGGGACACCCATAGACCCATGAGAAATGGTAGACTCCTTCAAAGTCACTAGCTTGGGAGTTGTTATATATTAACTAATATAGGAACACGCTCTGTGTGTGTGTGTGTGTGTGTGTGTGTGTGTGTGTTGTTTTAAGCAGAGTGTCTGTCAGCTTCATCAGACCACTGAGTACTGTCCATGACTCCAAAATAGCTAAGACCCCTCCCTACCTTGGAGAACAGACTGTGAGGACAGATAGCTACAGTAGGGGACAGATGGGAGAGGAGAGGGGCGATGGAGTGGAGTGTGCACTCCGACCTGCCCTTGAGCAGTGTTCATGGTGAGATTGAGCAAGGCAGTGTTGACTTGAGTCAGTATATGAGACACCAGAGAAGCAGGGGAGGGGCTGTGTCTTAGACCTGCTCTAAGAACTTCTGTTCTCCAGACTCTCACCCCACCTCTCCCTGCAGGGTGGATCCAGAATTCTGAGTGGAGGGCTGAACCTGGAAACTCTACAAGACAGATGGATGTGTCCTCAAGGAATGCAGTGATGAGTCCATCCAGGCTATTGTGGCTGTGCTTTGGAGGCCAAACAATGTTCTATGTCATTTTGGGTTCTCAGGAAGTATCTAACTGGTTAACTCGAAACCTCTTTGTTGTTATTTTTTTGTTTTATTTTTGCTTTTGTCTTGTTTTTGTAAGGCAGGATCTGATGTAGCCCAAGCTGACTTCAAACTTCCTATATAGCTAAACCCATCCCTGAACTTCTGATCGTCCTGCCTCCACCTCCTGTTGCAGGAATCTCTCTGAAATAAGCTTTTGTGGTCAGGTTGTTAAGGGAAACAACCCATTGTTTCAGCTGTTCTCCAGGTCATTCTGGTCCAGGTAGCAAGTGATGTCATGCTTGGAAATGAGTGGTATAAGCAGTGTTCTTAGTAAATCAATAAATCAGTATCTAATAACTGGTCTTTCCTATCTTACTCTACTTCACTCCCAAGTGCTGGGATTACAGGCATGTGTCTCTGTACCAAGCCCAGGTTAATGCTAGGACTCCTTTTTAGATAATGTGATGGTGACAATGTACCCTGCCCAACATTCCAAGAACAGTAGGGGAGTTCCTGGGGTCAGCAGAAGCCACCCTGATGAGATCAGAGGGTGTGGAGTGGTTCTAGTAGAGCTGAAATGTGGTGGGGAGACGGTAATGGAGGAACTCTAGTGCTTCATTTGCCACTGACAAGATGAAGGGTTGGAAGACAGCCCAGACGGATACAGAGATGGGATTTGGGGAGTGAATAACCACACAGGTGGTCACACAGGGCCACAGAAAGTCATTTGAGTTCACAAAAGAAGGACCAGAGAGATGGAGAGATGGCCTATCTGGGAAATGCACTAACTGCCAAGCCCAAGGACCTGAATTTGATTCCCAGGACTCACGGCAGAAAGGGAGAACCAACTCTTGCAAGTTGTCCTCTGACTTCAAGCACTCCATGTCATTTGTATGTCCATTCTTATACATGCACACACAATAAATAAATAAATGTAGAAAATATTTTTCAAAACAAAGACAATGAAGTAGAAGAAAAGATCAGAATAAACAAAGATTAGGAAGGAAATTCATTTTTTTGTTTTGTGTACGTGTGTGTGTGTGTGTCCATAGATGTGTGGGTACACACACACAAGTGTTTGCATATGTGTGGAGGCCAAAAGCCAACCTCAAGTATCATTTGTTCCTCAGGAGCTGTGCCTCTGAGACAGTCTCTCACTGAGTCCTGGGCCTCCTCAATTAGTCTAGGCTGGCTGTCCAGTGAGCCTCAGGGCCTCCTATCTCTGCCTCCTCAGCACCACGGTCACAAGTGCACACTCCCAGGCCACTCTATTCTGTGTGAGCTGGGGATCAAACTCAGGCCCTCATGCCTGCATGGTAAGCACTTCACCCACCCAGCCGTCTCCCCAGCCAGCAGTTTTATAGTAACTATAAAGTAGGGCTCCTTTATGATCCAAAGCCAAGGTAGGAAGACATTTCATTGCAAGGAGGCTTAAATCTGGCTTGAAGAAGGAAATACCACCAGACCCCTAGCTGAGGCCTCTGGGGGACTGGTGAACTCTAAGCAAGCAGTTCCCACAGATGAGTGTGGATGGAGGCCAGATGACGCCTGCTGGGTAGTGAGTGGGTGAAGCATCCATGAGGTAGGGAGGGCTGGGGCAGAGGGAGGGAAAAGGCAAATTTGCAGGGCAACAGCATCCAATTCAATGTTTTCTTTCCAAGACCATCCAGTTTTGAATTAAAGAAAGAAGGAAACTGCAAAACTGGAGTATTTAAAGGTCGTGTGAAACTCCTGGAACCCTCAAGTTCAATCTGTTCCCACCTAAATAACGTTTGTGTGGAAACCAGGCAAGGCCATTAAACCCCTCTCAGCGCAGATCCTGAAATGAAGCGGCCATTCAGCCCTTGAAAATATGCAGAGGCAGATGTGCAGATGTGGCATTCCCTGAGAACCCAGCAGCCAGCTGGGGAGGCAGGTATGCTGCCTGCAGACCTCCACCTCGTCCTCCTCTCCAGATCTACAACCCGGTCTCATCCTAACAACACACCACACGCTGCAGCTTCCCCTCTGCACCCCTATGGCCTCCAGCTCCTACTTCCTCTCTTACACTCATCACTTTATCCCAGCCCCCCTACTCCAGCAGGCACCCCCTGAGAAGTCACAGGCCACTCCAGCCAGGGAAGCAGGTAGCCTGACTGCAAGTCTCTGCCTCCCCCTCTCATTGAAAACCAGTCCCCTGGTCTCACCCCCAGCTCTGAAGCAAACCATCTGCTATGGCCTCCCCTTCCTCTCTGCCCCCATCTCCAGTCGGTCACACAGATCTTCCCCTCCTACTTTCCTCCACACTCATCCCCAACTCCCAGCAGACATTCCCTGAGGACCTACCAACCAAACTTGCCAGAGAAGCAAGTAGGCCAGCAAAACAGGTAGGAGAGCTTGAGGTCTCCACTCTCCTTCCTTTCCTCCACATCTAATCCCCCAGCCTCATCCCCAGCTCCATAGCAGACTCCCTGTCGTGGCTCTACTTGCTCTCTGCTCCAATTCCCAGGGGACTAAGCAGATCCTAGTGACACCCTGCTTTCCTGTCTTCTGCGGACCCCCCTCAGCATTACCCCTCCTTAAGTGTCAGTACCCAATACATAGAAACACATTTTACCTGGAACCCCCAGTGGCCACACCTAGCAGGATCCCACAAGATTCCCTGCTTGGCAATACACAGCCATAGAGGGCAACAGAAACCAAGGAATAAAGCACCCACCTAACAAAGATAAGACCAAATACCAGAACTTAGAATTACAATCTTCCAAGCCCAGATGCCTAGACCACAGCCAAAAAGCACAATCAAAAACAGCCAGGATAATATGTCTCTACTAGAGCCCAGCAATCCCCACCACAAACAAACACTAGGAAAAAATGGATAAAACAGTTCAAGACCTGAAAATGGAAATAGAATCAATAAAGAAAACCCAAACTGAGGGAAATGAAAAATTTAGGAACTCTAACAGGTACCTCAGAGGGCAGCCTTAGCAACAGAATCAAAGAGATGGAAGGGAGAATCTCAGGCATTGAAGACATGATAGAAGAAATGGTCAAAGGAAATTTAAATCTAAAAAAATCCTAGCACAAAACATCCAGGAAATACGGGGCACTGTGAAAAGACCAAATCTAAAAATAATAGGAATAGGGATGGAGAAGAAACCCAGGTCAAAGGCACAGAATATTTTCAACAAAAGTGTAGAAGAAAAATTCCCTAACCTATAGAAGGAGATGCCTATCAAGGTGCAAGAAGCATACAGAGCGCCAAATAGACTGGAGCAGAAAATAAATTCCCTTTGGCACATAATAATCAAAACACTAAAGGTGTAGAATACAAAAGAATATTAAAAGCTTCAAGGGAAAAAGGCCAAGTAACATAAAAGCAGACCTATATATAAAAGATCTGACTTCTCAATGGAAACTCTCAAGCCAGGAGGGCCTGAACAGATGTTCTACAACCTCAGAGACCACAGATGCCAGCCCAGACCTCTATACACAGCAAAATTCTCAATCACAATAAGTGGGAAAAATAAGACATTCCACAATAAAACCAACTTTTAGCAGTATCTAAAGTCCTGAAGGAAGCATTAGATAACCCCCACACAAGAAACCACAAGGAATAAATAATCCCAGACCGGTAAATCAAGAGGAGAAACACACAGCACAACAGCAAAATAACAGAAATCAACAAATATTAATCATTGATACCACTCAACATCAATGGCCTCAATTCCCCCAAGAGAAAGACAGACACCAACAGAATGAATGTGAAAATAGGATCTATCTTTCTGCTGCATCCAAGTAACACACCTTAGCATCAAGGATAAACATCGTCTCAGAGTAAAAAGGTGAAAAAGATATTCCAAGAAAATGGACATAAAAAGCAAGCTGGAGTAGTCATTTTAATATCTGACAAAATAGACCTCAAACCAAAACTAATCAGAAGAGATAAGGAAGGACACTACACACTCATTAAAGAAAAATCTACCAAGAAGACATTGCAATGCTTAATATCTATGCGCCAATCACAAGGGCATTGAGTTCATAAAAGAAACACTTACTACAACGTAAAACACATATTGACCCTTACATACTGAGAGTGGGAGACTTAACTATCCCACTCTTACTCACAGTCAGGTCATTCAGGCAAAAACTAAACAAAGAAATGTTGGAGCTAACTGACATTATAAATTAAATGAGCCTAACAGATATTTACAGAACATTTAACCCAAACACAAAAGAATATACTTTCTTCTCAGCCCCTCATGGAATTTTCTCCAAAACTGGCCACACACTTAGACACAAACCAAGTCTCAACAATACAAGAAAATCGAAATAACACCCTGCATCCTATCTGACCATCATGGATTAAAGCTGCATAGCAACAAAACAACAGAAGACTTACAAACTCATGAAAACCGAACAAGTCGCTACTGAATAAAAACAATGGGTCAAGAAAGAAATTAAAGACTTTTTAGAATTAAATGAAAACGAATATACAACATACCCAAACTTATGTGGCACAATGAAGGCAGTTCTAAGAGACAAATTCTTAGCACTAAGTGCCTACATAAAATACTGGAGATATTTCATAATAGTAACTTTCAGCACACCTGAAACAGAAAAAAAAATCACACTCAAAAGGAACAGATGACAAGAAAGAATCTAACTCAGGGCTGAAATCAATAAAATAAAAACAGGAAAAAGCAAAATCAATGAAACAAAGAATAGATTATTTGAGAAAATTGATAAGATTGACAAACTCTTGTCCAAATTAACTAAAATAGTTAGGAAATCCAGAGAATTATAAGGCCATATTTTAAAAAGTTGTACTCCACTAAATCAGATAATCTAAAAGAAATGGATAATTTTCTCGATATATACCACTTACCAAAGTTATATCAAGATCAAGCTATATAAGCAATTTAAGCAGACCTACTACCCCTAGAAAAATAGAAGCAGTAATTAAAAGTTTACCAACCAAAATAAGCCCAAGGTCATATGGTTTTAGTGCAGAATTCTACCAGAATTTCAAAGAATTAGTGCCAGTACTCCTCAAATTATTCCACAGAATAAAAACAAAAGAACATTGCCTAATTTGTCTTATAAGGCCACAGTTACCCTGATACCCAAGCCATACAAAGATCCAACAAAGAGAATTACATAGCAATTATGAACATAGACACAAAAATTCTCAATAAAATATTTGCAAACCAAATTCAATAACACATCAAAAGAATATCCACCATAATCAAGGAGGTTTCATTCCAGAGAATGCAGGAAGGGTCAACATAAATAAATCAATAAGTGTAATCACCATATAAACAAATGGAGGGGGAAAAAACCATATGATCTTCTCACTAGA